GCACCTTTTTGTTTAAATAAAAACTTTGTTTTTTGGAGCTTTGCAGCTGCCTGCATCATGGGTTCATTCCTGCCTGAAAATCATAACAGTTACATTACATTTATTACAGACATTTAGACTTTCTTTTTCCTAATTTATTTTTGTATTTTACAGTCATGCCTGCATTTCTGTCCCAACTACTGTGAATATTTTTCTTTAAAATCATCTTTTGGTGCAGTGGACTAAGAAATGAAGTGAAGAACAGATTATTTTGTTACAGAACAATGTTTGGATTAAATTGGAATCTTGCCTTTTTTAGAGCAAACACTAGCATGGTAGCAGTAAAGCATCACAACAAGTCCAGTCTACAGGAAACACTTCCTAAAAAAATGAAACTATAGTTTGTGCCTGATCACCTCAGGAAACCTGCAGGTTCTGGAGCCAAAAGCTGGTTCTGCTTCGTAAAGTTCTCAAACTCAACTATCATGGTTCTGCTACAAACAGAAACAAACCTTTAAAGCAGCATATCATTARTCCTCAACAAACACACCAATTAACCTTCAGTCGTTGTGTTCTGGTTTTTATCTTCATTTGAGAAAATTACTTCCAAACATGTTCTAARTGCGAGTTGGATACATTTACAGTAAGCACAGGACGGTACATTAAACATGTTTGTTTCCTTCAGATAACCAGACTGAAGCTGCTTATTGAGATATAGAGSCATAATAATTCAATCTGGTGGAAACAGGAACACATGCTTCAGAAGCACAAACACCCTGAGGAAGTTAGCATGTGTGTGGACATTTGTGAGCGGGTGCAGCAGCATCTGTTAGTTTGTGTTGCAAGAGCCGTTACTGTCCTCTAAACTTGGCCTTGATCAAAAAAATTATTAAAAACTTGATGGAATAAAACAGTTGCTTGAAATAATCTTTAAAATCTTTTGATGTGGGGTTTGTAAAACTGTTAACGGCTAARATCTTACCTGTTGCAGATAACTCTTCTTAAAATCTGAGTTTAAAGAAATATTACAATTCTGACCAGATTAACAAGCTAATGGCTAGTCTGAGCAGAAATTATTACCCTTTACTCCAGCATCAATCTTACAAGAAATGTTTTTTTTTCTTTTTTTGCAAAAAGGCACCCAGGTTGCACCAGAAGCTGCTATTTGCAGTGGAAAATATCTTAGAAACATGTTTAAATTAATATATAATATAAACCGTTGGTATTTTAGCGGTTTGTAAAATACCAGCAGAAGAGAAACAAGAAAATGTGTCTCAGCAGAAAGAAAAAAATTGTATAGGTCTTCTGGACGGGTTCTTCTCTAATGAAACGTTTCGTCTCTCCTCCAAGAGACTTCTTCAGTCTGAGAG